TTTCAGTGGAGGATCGGGACTACATGTCCAAAGTTCCATATGCCAGTGCAGTGGGTAGCTTGATGTATGCTATGGTGTGTACTAGGCCAGATTTGTCACAGGCCGTAAGCATGGTATCTAGGTACATGCACAACCCCGGGAAGGGATATTGGGAGGCCGTGAAATGGATTCTACGGTATATTAAGGGTACCGTGGATGTTGAGTTGATATTTGTGAAGAATGATGAGACAGGGCAGGATTGTATTGGCTATGTGGATTCAGACTATGCCGGAGATCTTGACAAGCGCCGGTCCACTACAGGTTATGTTTTTACATTGGCTGGTGCACCGGTATGTTGGAGATGCACTCTTCAATCTACAGTGACGCTCTCTACTACGGAGGCGGAATATATGGTAGTGACTGAAGCAGTGAAGGAGGTTTTGTGGCTACTTGGCTCGTTGGATGATTTGGGGATTGCACAGGAGACCATTCAGGTATATTGTGATAGTATGTCAGCTATCTATTTGGCAAAGAACCAAGTCTACCATGCTCGCACGAAGCACATTGATGTCAGGTTTCACTTTGTACGTGATGTATTGGATGATGGCGATGTCACGTTGGAGAAGGTCCACACTAAGGACAACCCTACTGATATGTTGACCAAAGTTGTACCAAGTGTGAAGTTTGGTCACTGTTTAAATTTATTGAACATTCTTCGTTGTTGAGGCCGTTGGCGGTCATTTGGATGAACTACGTTCGGCTTGATTCCTTGGGCAAGAGGATACGTAGGCAGTCTTGCAGATGCAGCCGGTTATATGAGTTGAGATTGATTGGGGGTGTTTTGGTGTCAGCTCAGTTTTGGCAAAACGTTCGCCGAGGTGGAGATTTGTAGAGTTGGTGAAAAGTCAGAGGTATGCCTCTGGAAGTTGGGCGGTCGACCGGCAGTGGAGCTGCGGTCGACCGATATGTGCACACACCTGGGTTCTGTTTCCAAACCCGTTTCGTTTGTGAGTTGTATAAATACCCTAAACTCGTTTCTAGGGTTTAAGTGAGAGGATTTTGAGCTGCTGAAAGAGGAGATTTGGGGCTTCTATTTTTAGAGTCATTTGGAGAGATTAAGTGGGCTTATTTGTGGGTTTTGGTAAGATTTGTAACCCTAATTTGTATTCCCCCTTGATTTCATTAGTAAAACTCCCCCCTTCTTGCCCCGTGGACGTAGGCACATTGCCGAACCACGTATATCTTGTGTTCTTGCTGTGATTGGGTTGCTTGTGATAATTGTGGTCTATTTTTGGGTCTTGTGTGTGCCTTTGAATTGTCAAATCGGCTTCCGCGGCGCACAACAACACAACCAAAACAACTTTCATTATTCCTTTCCTCATCCGAACACAGTGGTTGTAAAGGGAAAATTTATCGGGCAGATGCTACCAATCCAAGAGGTTGTCCAGTGTCTAATCTCCACATGGAAGTCCTCATCTATGAAGCATGGATGCTCCCCTGGAGACCACGAATCCGTGTCTGGCACGAATCAGACACGGATTCGTGCACGACATGTGCAAGACCCGTGTCAGACACGGTCAATCCGTGTCCGACACGGATCAACGGGTCAACTAAGGGGGATACGGTCAAGAAATGTTGAACATGGCTTGGATTCGTTAAAAAAAATGAAATACAAAACCCGTAACCAAAACCGAAACCCAAAAGGGAACCCTAATATTTTCACTTCACTCACCTAACTCTCGACGCCACCTCGTCCAGCGATCGTGTCTTCTCCGAAGCTCGTCGTCGTCGATCTCCTCCACTCGTCGATGCTAAGTGAGATCTCTATCTTGTCGTCGTCGATCTCCTCCAGCCGAAGAACTAATTCTCTTTCTCCTTCTCTTTCTCCTTCTCTCTCTCAATATTTCCATCTCTCTGTCAATTTCTCCATCTCTCTCTCAATCTCACCCTCTCGTTCTCTCTCATCTCTGTCCCCCTCTCTCTGTCTCTCTCTCTTAACTTATTTTTCTCTCTTCCTCTCTCTCTCTCTCTCAATCTCTCTCTCTCTCAACTTATTTTTTTTAAAGACTTACCTTTTTTTGTTTATGCAGTTTTGTGCCACTACTGATTGATGAGCAACTGTGCAAGTCACCGACTCACTTCATTTGGTATTTTGTTTTTATTTAATTTCAATTTTAATTTTAATTTCAGTTTCAATTTCTTAACGTATGAATATATTTTCCAATTTCAATTTCATTTTTAACACGAATAAATTATTAACATTACACAAATGAATTATGAATATTAACATTACTGCTGATTGATGAGCAACTGTGCAAGTCACTGACTCACTTCATTTGGTATTTTGTTTTTTTAAATTTTAATTTTAATTTTAATTTTAGTTTCAATTACAGTTTTAATTTCTTAACATATGAATATATTTTCCAATTTTAATTTTATTTTTAACACAAATAAATTATTAACATTACACAAATGAATTATGAATATTAACATTTCTATTTGTTATGGGCCTATGGCAATGAATTATTTGTTAGTCAATAATTTTGTTAGTCAAAAAAATATTACACAAATGAATTATTTGTTAAGACAATGAATTATTTGTTAGTCAATAATTTTGTTAGTCAATAAATTATTACACAAATAAATTATTTGTTAGGCAATGAATTATTACACAAATGAATTATTACACAAATGAATATACATATTTAATGAATGAATTATGGATATTTATTTTGACAATAGTGTTGGAAAATTTGATTGATCCTTCATCCTTGCTCATTGCTGCTTAACTCTTAAGTATAATCTGTAAAAAGAAAAGTTAGTGAGCAACAACTTATTAATTAGTATAATTAGAAAAAAGAGCTTAAAATAGTAATTAGCATGCTAACTAATAAATTATAAACATATTTCTTGCATTGTAATTTGTACTTGTTCTTTATACTAAACCGAGATTTTGGTATTACGTTCTATATTGATATATGTCATGGTTTAATATATAATTAGTACTTGTTCATTGTTTTTTATAGCAATGAAAGCAGAAGGTAGTTCTGGTGCACAGTCTGTTCAAGATGATCACACTCCTTTGTGGAAGTATGTTACAAAGTTGGAGAAGATGGGTAAAGGAGGGGGGAATTAGCAGCGGATGTGTAGTTATTGCAATGAAGAATTTACATCTTTCTACTCAAGGGTCGATGCCCATCTAATGTGGATTAGTGGGCAATGAATTACAATGTGCAAATGTGTTAAGCCGCACAATATGAGACATGCAAACTGATACGGATCAAGCGGAAGCAAGAGTGAGGGCTTCTATGCCTAGGACAGTGACGCTGCCAGGTTCTTCAGCGTCAAGTGCAACAACAGGAAGACAAAGCATGCCTTCTCGTGCAAGTGAGCCAAAGAGGAGGATAGGAGTCACCACCGTCGAACAGGCCTTCAATACAGGGGCAAGAGATGAATTGGATTCAATGATTGCAAGGATGTTCTATACCGGTGGGCTGTCATTTAATTTGGCAAGAAATCTTATTTCTCCAAGATGATCACATATGTCGCAAGCAATTCAATTGCCGGTTACAAGCCTCCGGGTTATAATTCTTTGAGGACCACTCTTTTGCAACGTAAAAAGGCTCACGTAAAGAGGTTGTTGGAGCCCATCAGGGACACATGGAAGCAGTGTTTTAAATATCGGCCGATAATCTGATATTATCGCCGATATATCGGATTTTTGGGCTGGCTGCGAGGATAACTTGAAATTGTAATCGGTTATCGTTTTTGGCACATTATCGACGATAAATCGCCGATAAAGAAAATTATTGCTCGATAACAGTGTTATTTTTATCGGGTTTATCGGCCAAGAGCTGCTCGCTACGTTGTTGAGTTTGAGATGTGAAACCCGACCCGACCCGACTTCACAATGAAAAGAAAAGTTAAGCCCTAACCTTCGTGAATCCAGATCTGAAAACCCAAGACTTCCTCTCTGGCGGCTGTTCTTCCCCTCTTGCCTTTGTCAATCTCCACTCTCCAGCCAACCACGACTTCGTGAATCTCCAGCGAGCAGGGAGTCAGCGACTTCGTGAATCTCCAGCGAGCAGCGACTTCGTGAGTCCTTCTCTCGCGTCGACTTCGTGAATCTCTAGTGAACCCTAAACTGCCTCTCTCGCCTTCGTGAATTCCAGAGAACCTCGCCTCTTCACGCTCGCCTCGACTTCGAACAGGTATCATTCATCTCTTCTTACCTTCGAAGTTCATTTTCGTTCACTTCTGGCCTTCGTCTCTCTCTCTCTCTGCTGCTGTTTCCTACGTTTAATTTTGTCGTTCTCTTTTAGCCTACGTCTCTGGCTGTGGTTTTCTATTTTTTAAGTTGATTTTTTATTTGAACAAATATTATCTACTTGTGACTGTGGAGACTTCTTGTGAAGAAATTTCGTGAATTATCTACTCAAACACGTATGTTTTTTCTTTTTAATCTTGTAGAATTTTTGTTGTGAGACTTATCAGACTTGTTGTGAGACTGTATTACTAGGATTAATTGTTGTGAGACTGTAAATCTGTAATTAATTGTTGTGGGATTAATTGTTGTGAGACTGTAAATCTGTAATTAATTGTTGTGGGATTAATTGTTCTGAGACTGTAAATCTATAATTAATTGTTGTGAGACTGTAATCTGTTGTGAGACTTATTGTTTATAGAAAATATCTCTTAATTAATTTTAAGAAAATACTTGTGAGACTGTATAAGCAAATTTAATTGTAATTTCAATTAATTTTGAGCAATTGGTTTTTACTTGAGCAATTAATTTTGAGTATTGTTGTGAGACTTAATCAGTTGTGAGACTTGTTTGTTGTTTATAGAAAACTTGTAATTAATTTTAAGAAAATACTTGTGAGACTGTATAAGAAAATTTAGTTGTAATTACAATTAATTCACAACTAAAATAAATATACAACTTGGATATGCAAATAGTTTACAATTGCTATTTTAAGTTGTCTTCCTTAGTTCCTTACTTCATTCCTTAAAATCTTGATGTCATTTTGATCTCAAGTCTGCAACAAAATAGAACAAGTCAGTGTTAGGCATAAAATTTTATGACATGATGAAATAAATAAAATAAATATACAATTGTGTATTTGTGTTGCTATTTTATTTTCAAACTTGTGTTCACAGTTCACTATCTCATGTTGACACTTGACAGGAGAATGTCTTCTGAAGGCCAAGCATCTAATAAACCACCAAAGCCAGCCGGTAAAGATTCTTGTTGGGCATATGCTGAGCGGGTTGGTAATGATGCTTTAAAGGTTCGTTGCAAGTTTTGTGGGCAGTCTATGTGTGGAGGCATAAGCCGGTTCAAACAACACTTGGCTGGAATCAAAAGGAACTGTTTGCCGTGTGAGAAGGTCCCCGAAGGTGTGAAGAAAAAAGTAAATGAAATCATTGATAGTGCCAAGAAGAATAAGGGTGCAAAGGAGTTGAAAATGCGAGATTTACTCGATGACGTTCATATAGGGGAGGAATAGTAATATGAAGGGAGTGTGACCGCATCTACTCAGAGTCAGAGAAGCTCATCACCATCCTCCTTCAAGACGAAAGGGCCAATGGATGCTTTTGCGGGCCGCTCTCATGAGGAGTCGGCCGAAGTAGTATTAAAAATGAAACAACCAGTGATGGACAGCAAGTATAGGAAGAAGGTAAGAGATTATGTGAACAGGTACATTGGGAGATGGTTCTATGAAGCCGGCATCCCTTTTAATACCGCAAGTATTCCTTCTTTCATACAAATGGTGCAGGCTATTGGAAAGTTTGGAGCCTTCTTGGATGCTCCGACACCATATGAATTGAGGGAGACTATTCTGCAAGAGAGGTGAATGAGACAAGGGAGATCATTGAAAAATTTAAGAAGAGTTGCGCACTTAACGGGTGCTCCATACTGCTTGGAGTGATAGGAAAATGAGAAGTATTATGAATATAGTTGTGCATTCAGATGGAGGAACGGCATTTTTGAGTTCATGTGATGCATCGGGAGACAAGCATGATGCGAATTATATATGTAACTATGTGGAGAAAGCAATTGAAGAGTTGGGGGCGCAGAATGTCGTGTAAATTGTCACAGATGGAGCTTCAAATAATATGGCAGCCGCAAAAAGCTTAGCAATTAAGAAGCCAAATATATTTTGGACAACTTGTGCGGCACACACTATTAATTTGATGTTAGCCGATATAGCCAAAATAAGACCTATTCGGAGTGCAATTGCAATGGGAAGAACTGTGTCGGTATACATCTATAGCCACACGAGATCTCTTCATGTGATGAGAGAATTTGCACGTGGGGACCTTGTTAGACCCGGGGTGACACGATTCGCCACATTCCTTGCTTTGGAGTCATTGAGAGATAAAAAGAAAGTGCTGAAGCAAATGTTTGTTTCTAATGAATGGATGGAATGTGAGCTTTCAACAAAAGAAGCGGGGAAAAAGGTACAATACAATTTAAAAGTTAAAGTTTGTAACTAATAACTAAAAATATTCATTTGCTTTAGACTATATAATTCTATTGTATTACTGATTATTATGTTGTTTTTTTACTTTGTAGGTTACCGAGATTATTCATAGCAACAAGTTTTGGGACAACATTGATCCTGCCCTTAGAGTTTTTTCTCCTTTGGTGAAGGTTCTAAGGAGAGTAGGTGATGATAAAATCCCCTCAATGGGGTTTGTGTATGGAGAGATGATGAAGGCTAAGGAGGAGATCAAAGAGGCCTTTCAAGATGAAGAGAAGAAATATCTTCTTATAGAGAAGATTATTGATAAGAGATTTGATGCTAAGCTTAAAGAACCACTCTATAAAGCGGGATATTATTTAAATCCTTATTTCTACTATCCAAATCTTATAGAGATTGAAAGGGATGGAAGTTTCTTGAGTTGCCTTGTTGATTGTATGAACAAATTCTATCCAGATGATGGTGACATGCTTGAAGTTTCTTGAGTTGCCTTGTTGATTGTATGAACAAATTCTATCCAGATGATGGTGACATGCTTGGCAAGATTGGAGACCAACTCTCTGATTATCAGCATCAAAGAGGATCATTCGGGAGAACTTGCAAAGAGAGAAGCAAAAAAGCCTAATAATAATCCGGGTATATTTTCATTTTTCATTCAAATTAATTTGGTGGTTTGACTAATTCTTGTTTGAATGTTACAAGTTACTAATTGTTTGCAACTATGACTTAACTAGTTATATGGTGGAAACATTTTGGCACTGACGCTCCGAGTTGAGGATGATGGCAATGAGAATCTTGAGCTTAACAACTAGCTCTTCGGCATGTGAGAGGAATTGGAGCACATTCGAGATGGTAATGGCTCTTTTTAACTTTAAATCATATTGGATCACATTTGAGACTAATTTGTCCTTCTTTGTGATTCTAATTTGTAGATTCATACAAAAAAGAGAAATAGACTAACGCATTGGAAATTACATGATTTGGTCTACGTCAAGTTCAATGCAAGGTTGAAGAATAAGCATTCCAACAAGGATAGAGATCCTTTAATTGCCTTTGATGATAAAGAAAGGTCCTCCGAGCGGTTGATGACTACAAAGAAGAGAGGTCATCATGATGAGAGCGATGATGAAGTGTTTGCGGGGGAATCTCTTACTTGGAGGCAATATGGAGATCTCATTGGAGCTAACCCTAAAAAGAGGAAGAGTGTTAGAACAAAACAAAAAGTTCGGGGAATCTTCATCAAAGGGAAAGGAGCCTTTGGAAGATGAGGAGGAAGACATGGAATCTTCGGAGTCTGATTCAGATGAGGGAATGGATAATATTCCAACGTTCAGCTCCGATGAAGATTAATTTAGTTATCTTTACTTTTGTAGCTTTGCTTTCTTTTGGATTTGCTATTTAAATGCTTAGAATTATGAACTATTTGTTACTTCTTTTGGAACTTGGTTGATTGTTGATTAGCTTTTGTTTGTTTATGGATATTAATATAGCTCATAAGTCATAACCACTAAATATTAATTTAGCTTATGAATCTCATAATTACATAATACTTATGTAGATGCCTAGATGGTTCTTTATTCTTGACGTTATCTTATTCTTTGCTTGTTTATTATTCCATTTTGACTAACATTATATTTTTTTTTTTCAAGGCTATGCAATTGAATGGTTTCATCGTGCGGTCGAGATGCAAGTTTCGCTTTCAACAATTGGTTAGTGATTCTATACATGATTATTTATATTTTGGTATGTTTATATTTCATTAAGCATTGTTAGATTACATTTTTTAGTTATTATATTATATATACACCATCCACTATATCACTCCGATAAATACTACTTATCCCAGATATATCCTCGATTTCCGCTATCCGATAAGGATTTTGACCGTCCGATAAATCCCCGATAACCGATATTTAAAACTTTGCATGGAAGCAAAAGGGGATCTCTATTTGCAGTGATGGTTGGGCAGATGCACAGAGGAGACCACTAATAAATTTTATTGCGGTCTCAGAAAATGGACCAATGTTCTTGCACTGCGTGAATATCGAGGGAGAGCAGAAGAATAAATATTTCATTGCAGAGAAGCTTGAAGGTTGCATTAGAGAGGTGGGGCCTCAAAATGTGATCCAAATCATTACTGATAACGCTTCGACATGCAAGGCCGCAGGGACAATTATGGAGGGAAAATTTCCACACATCTTCTGGACTCCATGTGTTGTTCACACCCTCAATCTTGCCCTTAAGAATATTTGTGCTGCGAAGAATACAGAGGCTAATGCAATTGCTTATGCAGAGTGCAGCTGGATTACAGAGGTACCTGATGATGCTTTGATGATTAAGAACTTCATCATGAATCACTCAATGAGGCTGGCTATGTTCAATGAGCATTCGAAGATGAAGCTTCTTTCAATTGTTGATACTCGATTTGCTTTATGGATCATCATACTAAAGAGGTTCACGATGATCAAGAGAAGCCTCCAAGATATGGTTCTTCGCGATCGTTGGAGCTTGTACAGAGATGATGATGTGGGAAAAACACAGTTTGTTAAGGAGAAAGTGCTTTATGATTTGTGGTGGGATAGGGTGAATTATATTATTGCTTTCACTGCTCCTATATATGATATGATCCGGCTCACCGATACCGACAAGCACAGCCTTCATTTGGTATATGATATGTGGGATATAATGATTAAGAAGGTGAAGGTTATTATTTATAGACATGAGAGCAAAAGAGAAAATGATCCCTCCTCATTTTATGATGTCGTACACAAAATCTTGGAGCATAGATGGAACAAGAGCAACACGCCACTGTAGTGCTTGGCGCACTCTTTGAATCGAAGGTAATAATTTAGATTATGTTATCAATTCTTTATTTTTGATGTGATTATTTTTATTAATAATATTTAATTCAATGTTAAACTTTAATAGATATTATCACTGGACATAGCTCAATGGGAATATCCATTGGCAAGCACCTCATCAGGATGAGATCTCTTCGGAAAGGTCCAAGTGTCTGAGGAAATTTTATCCTAATGCCGATAAACGGAGGGAAGTTAACTTGAAATATGCTAGATTCTCGGCTGCTCTTGACACTTTTAGAGATCCAGATTCTCTTGCTGATAGAGGATTATTGGATCCAACACCATGGTGGGTGCTCTATGGATCCTCAGCTCCAAATCTTCAAGCATTGGCCTTAAAGCTTCTAGGCCAACCCTACTCATCCTCTTGCTACGAAAGGAATTGGAGTACATACTCATTCATTCACTCTTTGAAGAGGAACAAGATGGCACCGGCAAGGGCAGAAGATCTTGTATGTGCATAGCAATCTTCGTTTGCTTTCTCGGTCATCCCAAGAATATCAAGAAGGAGAATCGAAGCTGTGAGATATTGGTGGAGATGCATTCGACTCATTCCAGGGCATCGGTATTCTTGATGTTGCCAGATTGTCTCTTGATGAACTCACCATGGAGGCTGTAGTGTTTGCTGATGCTGAAGGCAATAAAGAAGTCATCGGACTAACTTCCACTTCATCTTCATGTACTTTTTATTTACAAACTTGTTATTTTGTGATGGAATGAGTAGAGTATGTACTCTAATTCCTTTTTGTTTACAGACTTGTTATTTTGTGATAGAATGAGGATGTACTCCAATTTCTTTTTGTTTACAAACTTGTTATTTTGTGACAGATTCATAATTTAGATTGTTAGATGAATTTTATAAATTTTTCTATATATAATAATAATTTTAAAAAAAATCATCGCCGTATCCATGTATCTTATTTTTTGGATTTTACCGTATCTCGTATCTGTGTTCGTGTCGTATCCGTGTCTCGTATCCGTGCATCATAGGTCCCCATCTCCTTTTGATTAAACATGGGCCCCACAAGAATACCGAAATTTGGATCCAAAAGCACACATCCTATTTCAAATTAGCCCCAATTAAACAATAATAAGAGTGAATGAATCCCGCCCTTGTAAATGAAAAGGACTAATTTCAGAAAGCCCCAAGAATTTTAGGGGTTTTGCAGACAACCCCCGAGCTATTTAATTCCACAAAACCCCTGAACATTGAGGGTTTTGTGGAATTAAAATAGTTAAGGGTGTCATCTGTAAAATCCTCAAAGTTTTTTAAGGGCGTTTTCTGAAATTAACCTGATGAAAACCTAGAGCTTAAATATTATAAGTAAAAGAGACAAGAATTTTAAACATATCAAAACATATTTAAAGTTGGGAATGTTGATTTATGTATTGTTTTGTAGTGGAATTCGTTATGCTGATTTTTTTAACCAAGTCAGCTGATTTATGTATTGTCTGCACCAATGTTTTGGACCATTTGTACTGATTTAAAATGGTTACTGAAAAATGTGTTGTATTTTGTTCTTTCCCATATGATTTTCTATAAATGACTCTCTACATTATCTTTGTATAGAAAAGACCAGTAACACGCAAATGGATTCATATCCTACCTTCCATAAAAAATTAAAAAAAATAAATAGTACTTTAGAAAGAATTTATTAAATAGATTATTATATTAATATAAGTTAATTTTATCTGCTCTCTCATTTCTATTGAACTAATATTATTTTGCTTCAAAATTCATTTTACATTTTATTTCTATCCGAGCAAAAAAAATATCATCTTTTTTTTTCCTTTCTTTTTCCTTATCCTTCCCTTTTCTTTCACACTCTCCCAAACCAAACACGGGGTAATTTTCTAGCGAAAAACATGCAAGTTTCTGAAGAGAAGGCGACAGCATGATGAAAGAGAATGGGACAGCATATAATAATTTTCTAGCGAAAAACATGCAAGTTTCCGAAGAGAAGGGGATAGCATATAATGAAAGAAAAGGGGACAGCATATAATATGATAGAGAGAGAGAGAGGGAGAGGGAGAGAGAGAATGAAAAAAAGAAATGTTTTGTGAATATTCGGTCCATCCTATAGCCTGATTCACCAGATCATAAACAACTAACTTATCTGGCAAGGCCAAATCTGCATAAACACAGTACATGTTTGAGAATGGAAATTAAAAACAAACAGATAATGTACATGGGATGGATCACATCTACCAGAAAATATCACAAAGATAAATATAAGACGACAAAATCAGACGTATAAAATATTTGATCTAAAGAAAAATTAATTATAAAGCAAGCGAAAACTCATACCCCCCAAAAGGATCCGGTTTTTCCCATCACTGGACTGCACACCACCGTTTTGCCACCCAACACACCAGACATCATCCTGCGGGGTCACCACAAAGATATTAACGAAGGGGAAAAATGCACTGAAAAACTGACTTGAAAAAATAACAAGAACTGGATAAATTTAAAACACACAATTAAGAAAAGTTAAGTTCTATCGTATTCTATCGACTGCCAAGCTTCATAAATTAATTCCATCAACTGCCAAGCTTTATCATATTCTATCACAATTTAAAACAGAGACATTACTACAAAGAAAAACAATGCAACCAATAGGTATCTACTGCAAAGCTTTTCTAACAGATATGATGCTAACCAATGCAACCAATAGGTATCTACTGCCAAGCTTTTCTAACAGATATGGTGCTAACCTATGATGTATATCTGAAGAAAACGATCAGGAAAAACAGTTTACAACCTTGAAGATCTATTTCACATGTTTAAAACCATGAATGATAACCTACGACCCATCACAAATAAACTTCTCAGATGCATGAGGTCATGGTGTAATCTTGTGCTTATGCTTAATACCTTCCTTCTCCCTCATATCTATGACATTAGTACTAATAGGTTTCCAAGTGCTCCTAAAAAAATACCTATCTAAGCAGTAAGCAGGCTTCAAATCATTTGCCTTCTTGCTGTAAACTATTAAATGCTCACAAAGGTCTTCAAATCCTTATTATGCATCACTGAGCACTTTGCAATTTGCATCATCTGAGAGCAAGATTTTAGATAAATGTTTATTAATGTATAGTTCTAGTAGTTATACCCATGTCTAATATGCATGCATAATCTATATTCACATACAGACATGGCATATTCATGTCTGTGCAAAAGGATTTGATGAGTGCCTGTATCACCTACATATATCCATTCCATGTATGCTCCAAAAATGGGCAGCTTCAAGCGCGTGCATCGCTGTACAAGAACATCATTTTTGTTGTGTGCATAAGCACCAACCCCCGTAAACACACTTAATGCAACACCTGGACAGTGTTAATGTGAAGGCATTTCATGTGCATGCATCTGCCAAATGCACACGGTCTTAGGTTTCATGTGAGCATCAAAAATGCTCCATTAACATAACATGCATATGCTTTTTCAAATGGTTTTGAGAAGCTACAACACCATAACCTAAGCAAGTGCATTTTCTCAGTAATGCCACCTCAGGATGTGAACATTGATACGTTTAGCTTGTGACTTGCTTCATTGTTTTACATTCTGCACTTGCCTATGTGTTCACTAGGAATCATGGGGTGAAACACGACCTGAAATGCTCAAATAGATATATATGCAAAGACTAGAAACCAATATGCAATTTGTCATGTCGAATGCTATATTGCTATAATGCTATGTACATCATTAGGTGTCCATAAAAATGACAAATGTTCTCATGTTAAACCTTGAAGCAATGTGTTTCAATAACTATCATGCCCGCATTGACTAGCCATATAAACATAGATGCACTAGGCATAAGCTAAATGTTCATTATCCATAGAAATCCTGTAAAAATACCATCAACAGAGGCAGAAACAGAAACAGATTCGTGGATTTCCAACCTTACCTCTCCTAAGAAAGTATAGAACATAGGGTCAGAACATGGGTACATGACCCTATGTTCTACTCATATTTAGTCCTTCACGATATTATTTACTCCTAGGTCCTCTTCTCAAGAATAGGAGTGTTCTACAGAATCAAGAGTGAGGGTGGAAGAAGATGGACTACAAAGGAACAAAGCAAGTTTTAACAATTTTAGAAGAAATTATAGCTGAAGATTGTGGCAAATAGGTCAGCCCAATCAAGGGGAACAAGGGGATTTACATTTCCCCTCAGGAAGCCTGCCTCATAAAAAACTAACAGGTGGCAGCAAGTCATGGAAATCAACTCAGCACACATCATCAGGACTCAAACAGTAACATATATCACGTTCACAATTAGCAGAACTTGGGGCTGCCAGACAGCAATAACTTTAGTAAGTACTCTTGGGCACCAAGAGAGAGGGGAGGACTGAACTCAACTTGTTACCTATCAACCTTCTTCTTGATGAGCTACCCTTCTGTAATTCCAATTGAGGTACAATCATACCAAATAATAAATAAAAGATTAATCCATTTGCTAGATCACAAAAACAGATTTAAGTGACCGGCATACACAAAAGGTAATGATGGGTATATTAAAATTACTACTTTTGCACTACAAGAATAAAAATGCCGTTCTTGATAAATTAAACTTTTTTATAGCAATTTACAAGGAGGTACCATACTGATTTATTAATTGAATCACAAAAGCAATTTATGGTCTACAGTCTAGTTATAGCTACTCTACACAATTATACATACATCAGCTACCATCTTCCTATCAAGATCAACATAAATAGAAGATGCATAGACACATGGCCAGGTGCACACACACTATAATCAGCCACCTATAGAACACAGAGAACACTTCAGAAGTTATATGTATATGTGTGTAGTTGAGCTAGACTACTATTAATGGTATCCAATATGTTGATACTATCAACTGAAATTTGAAATTCGGATTCCAATATTGAAAATCCAAACCATTGGATACTTAACATACATGAACTCCCTACAAACAAAATTTTAAATAATCTTTTGATGTGTTTTGAACCATTTATCAAAGGTCTAAAAATAAAGCAACATTAAGATAATTCTAAAACGTTGATTTTGAGGACATATGATACATGGATAAAATATGTTGAAATCTTTTGAAATTTTATTTCTAGATAGTTCATGTGTAATAACGACATCCAACAGTTAAGATTTCCAATGTTGGAATTCGAATTTTAAATTAAAATTGATAGTATCCACATGGTGGATATTTTTGTACTAAGTATTTAATTTTTTGCAGTTTGCGTACATAACTGCATAAAAATAAAATATTTAGTACAAAAGTTCAAGTGCCTCTAGCAAAATGCTCTCAAACTGGAAGCACATGTGCATGCACATTAACATGCATGTACCATGATGCAAAAATGCAACATGTAGTACAAAAACTTTAGCGCCTTTGACAAAATACACTTTAAATAATTGATTAATAACACCACAAATCTCATCTCATCTCAGAACAGAATCATGGACCTACTTACCTAAACACCTATTCATCTACTTGTATATGTACTTGCCTAGGCTTGATCCAAGAACCAGAATGACATTAATGACTAATGATGCCCTTCAGACCAACTGATCACATCCTCAGTGGGAGTCATACTTTAAACTGATTATAGCAATCTTTTGAATTACGTAAATTTACCTATGCCTTTGTGCTTACACGGGTGAAGCTTAAAACTTAAGGTTGGGTTGTCCAATTGGGCCTGCGGCCATGACCCAGCCGGGCAAATTGGACCTGTGGCCCGAACCCCGGGAAAAGCCTACAAAACCGGGCCAGACTAGGGTTGGGATCCAGGTTCAGGTTGGTTCGACTAAGCCCGACCTGGCTTCCATAGTGCTAGGAGAAAGAGCTAGGGTCCAGGTCCAGGCCAGCCTGGACCCGTACCAAACATAAGAGAAGGTAACGGCTCCATATTAAGTCGTTGGACCGGGCCGAGATCACAAGCCTAGCCGGCCCGGACTTGGACCCGATCCAACGGCTAGAAAACTAGCTGGGAGATCACTGGACTGTGCACACCACCGTTTGCCCCACAACACACCAGACATCATCCTGCGGTCACCACAAAGATATTACGAAGGGGAAAAATGCACTGAAAAACTGACTTGAAAAAAATAAGCAAAACTGGATAAATTTTAAAACACACAATTAAGAAAAGTAAGTTTCTATCGTATTCCTATCGACTGCAAGCTTCATAAATTAATCCATCAACTGCCACTTATCAGTATTCTATCACAATTTAAAAACAGAGACATTTACTACTAAGAAAACAATGCAAAACCAATAGGTATCTACTGCACAAGCTTTTCTACAGATATGATGCCTAACCAATTGCACCAATATAGGTTATCGTCCACTGCCAATCGCTTTTCTAACAGATGATCGGTGCTAACCTATGATGGTATATCTGAAGAAACGATCAGGAAAACAGTTTTACAACTTGAAGATCTATTTCACATGTTTAAAACAGCATGAATGATAACCTACGACCGCATCACAAATAAACTTCTCAGCATGCATTGAGTCATTGCGTGTAATCTTGTGCTTATGCTTAATACTGGCCTCCTTCTCCGCTCATATCTAGACATTAGTACTAATAGCTTTCAGTGCTCCTAAAAAATAACCTATCTAAGGCAGCTAAGCAGTGGCTTCAGAATCATTTTGCCTTGTCCTATGCTGCTAAACTATTAAATGCTCAACAAAAGGTGCTTCAAATCCTTGTTACTGCATCACTGAGCACTTGCAATTTCATTCATCTGAGAGCAAGATTTTAGGATAAATGCTTATTAATGTATATTCTCAGTAGTTTGTACCATGTTCTAAATCATGCATGCATAATCTTATATTCATCATACAGACATGGCATATTCATGTGTTGGCAAAAGGATTTGAGAGTGCCTGTATCACCTACATATATCCTATTCTGGCTGAATGCTCCCAAAAATGGCAGCTTTCATAGCGTAGTCGTGCATCGCCTGCTACAAGAACATCATTTTTGTTGTGTGCATAGCACCAACCCCCAGTAAACACAACTTAATGCAACACCTGGACCAGTGTTAATGTGAAGGCAATTCATTGCATGCATTTGCCAAAATGCACACGGTCTTAGGTTTCATCCGTGGGAGTCATCAACAATTGCGTCCAATATAACATAACATGGCATATGCTTTTCAGAATGGTTTGAGAAGCGCTCAACACCATAACGCTAAGCGCAAGTGCATTTTCCAGTAAGTATGCCACCTCAGCGATGGTGAACTTGATAGCGTTTATGCTTGTGACGTTGCTCATTGATTTTAACATTCTGCACTTGCTATGGTGTTCACTAGAATCAATGGGGTGAAACACGACCTGAAATGCTCAAATACGATATATATGCAAAACTAGAAACCAATATGCAAATTTGTCCATGTC